ATAAAATACAGCTTAGGGTTATGTATTCGTACTGAAGTTCGATAATGTTAATTTTTATTACGAGAAGAAAGTGACCTTAATTTGCGCGAAAAGCCACGTGAGCTTAAAAAGTGCTCGGCGCTGTATGTCTCTGATATACGCTCAAGTGAGCTTTGGTGATCATGTACCTTTCTGAAGTTTGGCTGTCTGTCTGTCTTTGTGTAAACTTTAAATATTTTTACCTCTTCTCCATACGCACGGGACCAAATTCAGCCAAACCTGCCTAAAGCATCCTTGGGCGAGGAAGATTTAAATTTGTTTAAATTATATGGACCAAGCACTTTTTCATGGAGAAAATTATATTGTTATTTAAGTATCTTCTCATTCACGGGGTCAGAAAAAATGAAACTTATTTGAGAATTTCTGGACAAAGTGTAGATTCAAGTCTGTTCAAATCAAGCCCCCAGGGATAGAGTTAGGGTAACAATGGAGTTTTACATGGGAATATATAGGGGGAAAATACTTTCCTAATTGACCACAAAAGATATTTGAAAGCTTCCTCGCATTGTGTGGATTATTTAATGTCAAAACTATCGCCATCGGGATAGGGCAAAGATACAGTTTAACACGGAAATATAGAGGGAAATATAAAAGTCTCCTGCTCAAGAACCACATAGGCCAGATGTAAATGAAATTTTTATGGAAGGGTTTTAAGTACATAGATAAAATTCTAAATTGCTTAAGTCATTGCACTGGGTTGTCTCTATGAGCTCGATTAACCTGAAGCAATAGGAAGCAACTGTCCCTCCTTCAAACACTCAGAAAGTTGCAGGTTCTTCGAATGAGACCATAAAAAACTAGGCCTAGTGTCACATTAGATGTAGGCACGATAAAGATCCGGGATTCTTCCCACTGCTCAATGGTCTGAACATTGAGTAAGGTTCTATATCTAAAACCTTTTACCACCATTAAGTGAGGTCTCATATGAGTGAAATAATCTTGCAAAGGACGTTAAACCATAACCAGCACAACCATGATAATTAAGTGATAAAGTAAAACTTGTTTGACCCGGATGTTTTGTCAATTCTTGCCTAAAAAGATGTAAATTTTGATTAATTTCTTTTCAGTAAATTCAGTTGTTAAAAATGTTTTCTTATCCCGAATATAACACAGAATCTATGTATAGAGTATGTGTACACAAACTGGTCCACCTATAACACAGAATCTATGTATAGAGTATGTGTACACAAACTGGTCCACCTATAACATGTATAACACAAAATCTATATATAAAGCATGTGTACACAACTGGCCATGGTCCACCTATGACATAGAATCTACATATAAAGCATGTGTACACAATCTGGTCCACCTTAAACATGTATAACACAGAATCTATATAGCATGTGTACACAAACTGGTCCACCTATAAAAGAATGTAAACACAGTTCTATATATAAAACATGCAAAACGTACAGTGTACTACCAAAAGAATCTTTCACTAAAAAGAATGAACACACATCAGAACCAAACTCTCTGCCTGATTTAGCATTTTAAAGCCTGTTTACCAACGACACCTTGACATTGAACCATTCAGATTCTATTAAGAACCTGCCAGGTTTACTTGGTGGTTTACTACGGAGAATTCGGTATGTACACATACAATGTGCACTCCACGACCCCGGATTTTTCTCAGCGACTGAAACATTCTCAACCCAGTCGTATATCTGAACATATAGACTACACAAATCATTAGAACCTGATTATTTACGTACTAAAGCGGGTTTAATTTTATCAACTTCTCCAAGGCTACTGAAAGTATGTCAATTGAATGCACCCCGAATATCCTCTATATGGAACCTTCTCGCCGAGATACAGATAGAAATTGACATTTAACTGTTCTAAACAAATTTTGCAAACGAACAATGAATGAATGTCCTTGAATCAAAACACTATTCTGCATGACTGAAACGATATAAATACTCACACCCTAGTAAAATTTGTAAACCACCTTTTCGGAGCCAAAAGTTATTTTGATAAGGATGAGGCTAATAGCCGTAACTAGATGGCGCTTGAATATAAAACCCGGAAAAACCCCTCAAGACCCATGAATTGACACAAAATAGTGATAAATAAAAATAACACAATCTAGTATGTATTTAGATCACATAAATTCATTTATATATAAATACACAAATCCCACTTCATCTACTTTCATTTGAAGAAACATTCAAGGAATCAGAAAATAGTATTTAGTAAGGAAGTGTATTAGTGCCACTTGGCACTTTAGTTTTTATTATGTTACCTGAGTCACTCAGGTGACTATACATATCTGTTTTCGTATGTCGCCGAGCGTGGTGCGTTAACATTTAAAAAATTTTAACTTCTCCTCCGGAATCGCTGAACTAATTTCAATTAATTTTAGGGTAAATCATATATGGGTAAAGGGAAATAAAAATTGTCAATTTCGTGGTCCATGCCCCTTTGGAGTCTGAGAAATGGGACTGAAACCATCAAAACTATCTTTAAAAATCATCTTCTTTACTTCTGAACATTGAGCAGTTATACTGCTGGCATGATTGTAACAAACATTGAATTCCCTACCAAAATTGTGAAATTCATTGCCCTAGGGTGAGGGTCTTTTGGCTTTGTAGAATATATAGTGAAAATATATCATTTAAAAAAAAATCTATCCCATTGCACCTGGGTATTAAGCAAACGAACTAAATTCATTTTATAAAAAGGACTGGTCCCTCAATTAAAATTGTGATTTCATGGCCCCTGAGTCAGGGGTTTTGGTGTTACGGCGAGGCTTCATTGATTTGACGGTGAAAATGCATTCTTTGAAAGTCTTCTTCTCTGCTCCTGGGTGTAAAGCCAATAAACTAAGTTCATGGTTATGATGAGCAAGGATGTTTCATCCACAATCGTGAAATTTGTGGTCCCAGGGTCAGGGTTACAATTTTTGAGGGTATCTTTAAATTATATAATAAAAATGAATTAATGCTTTGAAAATTTTCCTCTGCTCCTGGTTATTGAGGAAAGAAACCAAGTTCATATTTATAATGAGTAAGGGTTGCCTCTACCAATATTCACTGTCTGTTTAATTACAGATCTCATTCTTGTTGAGGAATTCTAGTAAAAATGCTCGTTAAGAATAATACTGTCTGTGTATTTATAAAAGCGGGCTCCATATTTTAGAGGCTTTGGCGCGGACAACGATGCGCTCATTCATGAATACCGCTAAGAAATCATATATAAATACAATATATGGCGAGTAAGTGTGTAGCACTAATTCATAAATACGCAAATAACTTTATGCCAGTGATTGCACTAAATTTTAAATACGCCAATTTACATTTACGGTACCTCTTGTTCTTGTTGAAAAAAAATAATTCATTTGAAGTAGAAATTCACAAAAACTCAGTTGGTAATCAAGTTTTTGATATGTTTTAATGTTTTTCTGTAGATGTATTTTCCAAAGAATTTGTGGAGCTTATTTTAGTCTGCTGGATCACTGTATCCAAAGCTGATAATAAAATCAGTTTTATATATATTCATTTTATGAAATATGAAGATAACGAACAGTATTCAATCTCGAAAGTCCAATGAAACGATATAAAATTGGAGCAGAGCAAATAGGGACCTCAAAATTTAGAGGTGGGATCAGGTGCCATGGAGAGTGAGCATCCCCTGCCGACTGGTCAGACCCGCCATGTGGTCTTTGTCATGGTCAGAAAAAAAAGGAAAAATACGTCGACAGTTTAGTGTATAAGTAATGGCTTAACAATTAGTATGAAAAACATCAGTCAGCATTTGACTTTATGATAGGTTGTATGTGCTGACAAGGTCATTGTATCGACCGTAAAACTTGCGAAATGATGACTTCAAACGAGGCTATTGATATTCTTGTTTCTTCAACTTGTTTGTCAATAGTTTGCATCGTTTGAGAAATTGTTCATACGTGAAGCATCTATTGCGTATCGAGTTAACTGAGAGATATAAACCCCATATGCAGGAGATAAGGGTATATTCCTGGTATTATAAATATAAAAACATTTCAGGTTGTTCATACCATGACTGTTTTAAAAAAAGGTTTGACATAAGAATGTTTAGGAAAAATATATCAAGAACACCTGGTCCATGCTAGCATCCTTAAGTTGCAGATTTGAATTTATTCAAGTCATTGTCCAAGGGATATAGTAAGGCCACAATAAGTATCAAATATATAGGGATAAAAATACGTGATCAGGAGGTCATGATTCTACATACTTGAGCTACTATAAAATAGGGAAAGCAACTGTCCCTACGTCAAGCACTCTGAATTTTGAAGTGAAATTTTTAAGTCTTTTTAAGAGAATTTAAAAAGCTAAGTCTTGTGTCACATCAAATGTTGGCACGATAAAGATCCAATGGTCAATGGCCCTGAGTACTGAGCAAAGTTCTAAAGTTGAAGCCCTTCCTGCATACAGTGATGTGTCGATTGAGTGAAATTATCTTTCAAGGGATGTTAATACACAAACAATTAATCAAAACCAGAACAGACAAGATAAGTAATACACTAAAATCTGTATAATCAGGATGTATTGTATTCCAGAATCTTGCCTATCATGATGTAAAGTTAAATGAAGTCCCTCTCAGTAAATTCAGTCGGTTAGAATATTGACTTTTCCCATATTCTGTCTAATCCAGCCAATTTCTATGGAACCATATTAATGTGCAAGCATCCTCAGTAAATACAGATTAAAGTTAGATCACATGAATATGCAAGCATTCTCAGATAGTGTAAATTCAAAATTGTTTGAATCGATGCCCAAGGAATGTCTTAGGATTGGATCAGAATAGGAAATGACATTTTATATTTGATTATATAGCGAAAAATCTTTTTAAAAGTTTTCAATAACCACAATAGAATCTCTTATTTGCAAACATTCTCAATTCTTTTTTAATGTAATATAACTAAACTAGGATCAAATTCTACATAATGCATGTATACATGAAAAAAAAAATTCACCATAACAGAAAGAATATGTTAAAGATATTAATATTGAAGTAACTCCATGTTATATGGATTTAGATATGGTCAGGTCATGACTTCTAAGAGTTATGTTGGGGTCACAATATAGGGTCACAATTTTTCATGGGAATAAAAAGTGGGAAAAGTCTTCTTTTTTTTTTTTTTTTATAAAAATCGTTGAAAGAACAGCAGGACAAAGTGAATCAGGTGAACATTGTTGTCCATGGATATCTTGTTTTAGAGCAAATAGAAAAAAAAATAATGTGAGAAAAAAAAACAAACAAGAAATCAAACTTCATTAGGTATATTTCAAATATCAGACATTTAAGTAATTGAGGAATTCCATCGAAAAATTTCCCGTATTCTCATTTCTGTAGCAATATGTATTTTGTTGTATGGTTCTTGTCTGAGAGATTGATGGTATGAGTATAGAGCAGCCTGGAGGTTCCCTGTCACCTGTTGACAGATCCCAAGAATCTGCCAAGATATATCTTTGTATAGAGGATCCATTAGCTGTCCTTGATCAAAGTGAACAAGGGTCTGTAATTCACGTAGAAATGTTTGTTCTCTCATTGTGTTTACATGTCTGTAGCACAGGATCTCTAGCATATATAACAGAATTAAGGGTGACACTTCTAAATGAGGCCAATTGTTCAGTTGAGCAGACATTTGTTCTTGTATTAATTCCCCGATGTAATGGATATCATTGTCAAGTCTGATAGTCCATGCCACAGCATATCTCATCTTTTTAGACCAAGTTAGACCCCCTACAGCCTCAGTATACATCTCTTTATTCACATTGAACCTATTCATCACATATGGCTTTGCTAACTTGACCTTGATCATTTCTGTAATAGACATTGCTTTAGTGTATCTGAGTGTCTTGTAATAATACATGGCCAAGTACAGCATGTCAGTAATATAACCAAACTTGGCTGCTAATTTCAGCATGTGACAGTATATTTTGTCATTTCTATAACTCAGTTTGTTTGTATATGCGTTAGTTTTCATGTGTAATATGAAAACAGTTTGCTTAAGGACATCAGCTGTAAGTTTCTGTAGCATGATGACTTGATACTCTGTCAAGAGGGGTGCATCTATCATTTGTTCTATTGTATGTAGATATCTCATGCAACATTCTAAGTTTGATGTGAATAGTGTGTCTTGCCTGTATATTTCTTTAAATATGTTAATATCAAACTCAGCCTCAGAAATCAGAGTTCGTTCGTCTGTACAGATTGAGAGTCTCGGGTTGTGAAGAACTTTTATGATATAAGACCTAATGGAGGGACTGTGTAGCAGAAATGCTAAACCCTTCTCGTAAAGCCCATATAATCTTATAGACAATTGATATTGTTTGTCGCCATGAATTTTATTCAGAAACATGTTGTTCTCTGGAATGAAAAAATTAGGACAGACCCCCTCATACACCCATTTGAGGATGAGTTTAAAACAGACCCAAAAACCCCACAGGAGATTTTGTGGACACCAATGAGATATTGTATTTTGTTGAATCACCCAGAAAACTGCCGTCTTAATATGATAGGAACACAGTAATTTATCATCTTCACCTACTCCATTGTTAATTATTTCTGTTAAGAACAATTTAAGCAAGGCATAAGTTAAGAATTGACAGTGGTTCATTGCAAACACTAGTTTTTGCTCTGCCAGAGAGAAAGAAATTCTCCATTCAAGGTCTTCATGAATTCCTAGCTTATGTCCAATTGCTACAAAGTGACATCCATTTTTTACTATATCATCAACAACATGAGGCTGGGGCCATGAGTGACATCTGTCAATCCATGAGGAGGCAGATGGAGACCAAAAGTCACAGGCAAAACAGTGGGCATGATCATATTCTATCGCTCCAAATCTTCCACTGGCACAGGGTCCGTGTTGAGTGGAGTTTAATGGGAATACAGAAGATGTGACTAATCTATATAGAGAACTAGATAAATATTGTCTGTTATTCACTCTAACACAAGCTTCCTGGATTCCTCTGTCCATGCTTGGTGACAGTAAACATAACAAAGTAAATCCTGGTGGACTATCAAAATAGTCACAGAGGATCAGTGTTTGTCTGTGCCTGTTGTAATACTGCGATTGAGATAATTCCCAGATCACACGGTGATTATTTGGCCAGAACATAATGTCTATATCTGATCCCTCCAGTCTGAATCCTTCTTTTTGGCTTCCACTTTCTATCATATTGTTTTTATTACTTGGCGTCTTCTGATTTTCCATCACGTCCCTGATGTCCACCACATCTCTCCTCATGGCCACCAGTCGTGAGGTCCCCACTTTATGGCACAGTCCCACAAACATTGACTCTGATATATGTCGTATGGCTGTCTTACTGAGGATGATACATCACAAATTTAATATGCATTGTATAGTATGCCACTTAAGTAAACAATTGATAGTAATCAGCATAGCCATGATTAAAGGTAAATTCTTATATTTTATATGATGTTTTACCATTGCGTTAAATCAAAGGCTAGTTATTAAGATCAATTATTCTAGTTTTACTGAAAACAGATTTTTGTGTGTGATAATTAACTCTTTCTATTTAAAAAAATGTTTTATAGAAATCCAGTGTTCTCAACTTACTGATAAAAATTAGATATGATTGTTTTGTTCCATAATCCATCAAACCTCCTGATTCAAAAAGTAGACATTTCTAATATAATACACGTATAGATTGTCATAAAAACTTACATTTGTGAAGTTCTAGTGGAGTCCATTTTTACCCTTGGGACTGAAAAGTTTCAGGTGTTATAATTAGTACAGAAAACCCCTACTACATCTACTTTTCATTTTAATAAAAGTTAAAGAATTTTTATCACGTCTCAAAATTTTTTGATATGACAAAGATTACATGCTATTAAAATCATATATTTACCAATCTTTGCTAGAAAATTAATATTGTTGATGTTTCAGTGATTCAAAGTTTGAATTTCTCAATATGATATTTTGATAGTCGATGCTATGCGCCATTACTTTGACGTCATAGATATCAATCCTTGGCAAGAGACGTACTTAATGTGTATATAAACGACTCATTAGTCACTATTTGTTGTGTCCATTTAAACCTGTTAGTAAATAAATGAGTGATAATTGCTTATAATTACATAATATTACTTATGCATCTTAACCCTTTGTAGTGTAGATGACAGTTTGTAATTGTAGAACAATGTTGTGTCTTTGTGTGATTTGATAAGAAAAATATGAAACAGGTGTAAGTTACACCACTAGCCGCGCTTCATTAATAAAAAAAATTAAAATCACTCGTGTCAAGTCAGTGTGATATACACACTAGTAAAATTCAAACCCCATCCACGAAAACACTAATCTAAATATTTGACGCGTTTGAATCGATTCAGTTAATCAACGATATAAACAATCTAACGCTGTAGTAACCATCTCAGTCGCCGTGACGTCACAATCGTGAAACACGATGTTTTGTTGCAGGGCAAATCCAACCATACAGGATACATCAAATTAATTGTCGACATAGTACCCAACCATACAGGGCATAATGGTGAAATGTGCCCCATCAATTTTTTTTATATATATAATTATGAGCCCAATGGGGCTAATAAATCTCCTTTTGGCAGTTTCCAAAACAAACAAAGCTTAAATAATATACAATATGAATACCTGAATAGGTTTAGCAGTGTAATTATGCATCCAACCCCATGGCAAATCATGAAATCAAAATAACCTAAATAAATAATAATGACTGAGCGTAATAGCTACATGTTGAACAACAAATGCAATTTACTCTAGCTACATGCATTTACAGTGTTAAATTTTTCATCATATGCCATCAGTAGCATTTTCCTGACAGGCCACAGGCCTAAGTTCCTTAATGAAACCAAAAACATTGAACGCACCTGTAATCTACCCAAACTTGACCATATCAAAATAAATTGTTATATAAGTATTAAAGTTTTATAATACTGCCTACAAGGTTTTAAGTGCTGAAACAACTGACACCCTAACACTATTCTAATACTTTGTGTAATCAAGTGTTCTTTTTAGGTGCACACTTACTTTATTCTCATTTTCTGATGACCAAAATATTGAGTGATTCAAAAATCTTACACCAGAACCAAACTCTCTGCCTGATTTAGCATTTTAAAGCCTGTTTACCAACGACACCTTGACATTGAACCATTCAGATTCTATTAAGAACCTGCCAGGTTTACTTGGTGGTTTACTACGGAGAATTCGGTATGTACACATACAATGTGCACTCCACGACCCCGGATTTTTCTCAGCGAGTGAAACATTCTCATCCCAGTCGTATATCTGAACATATAGACTACACAAATCATTAGAACCTGATTATTTACGTACTAAAGCGGGTTTAATTTTATCAACTTCTCCAAGGCTACTGAAAGTATGTCAATTTAATGCACCCCGAATATCCTCTATATGGAACCTTCTCGCCGAGATACAGATAGAAATTGACATTTAACTGTTCTAAACAAATTTTGCAAACGAACAATGAATGAATGTCCTTGAATCAAAACACTATTCTGCATGACTGAAACGATATAAATACTCACACCCTAGTAAAATTTGTAAACCACCTTTTCGGAGCCAAAAGTTATTTTGATAAGGATGAGGCTAATAGCCGTAACTAGATGGCGCTTGAATATAAAACCCGGAAAAACCCCTCAAGACCCATGAATTGACACAAAATAGTGATAAATAAAAATAACACAATCTAGTATGTATTTAGATCACATAAATTCATTTATATATAAATACACAAATCCCACTTCATCTACTTTCATTTGAAGAAACATTCAAGGAATCAGAAAATAGTATTTAGTAAGGAAGTGTATTAGTGCCACTTGGCACTTTAGTTAAGGTCTTCCGTTTCCAACGGAAGACCTTCTACTGATTCTGATGGTTAAGATTATTAAGGTCTTCCGTTTCCAACGGAAGACCTTCTACTGATTCTGATGGTTAAGATTATTCTTATTATTCTTTTTTTTTTTTCCTAGACGCCAACTTTGAAGCTTCATATCTTCCTCATTTCTGAACGGATTTTGTTCAAATTTTCAGAGCTTTTAGACTTTGCAAAACACTCTCAGAATACTGTAATACAATTCGGAAATTACCTTCTGTTCACGAGTTATTCCCCTTTGATTGAAATTTTTATGCCTCTGGTTTCCAGACAAAGGCTCTGAGACTGTAATAATTGGAGCACAAAACCCTTTGAAATTGAAAAGAAGAAGCATTGAAGTTGTGCACATCGGTTTTTGTTTTTTGATTTTTGCATTAAAAATGGCGCTAGAGAGGGGTCAAAAGTTAGAACGCGGAAAAGAGCAAAAATTTTGACATATTTTCCTTTATATCTTTAAAACTAAAAATATTTTGTTAAAACATGTAGAATAAAAGTTGTGCATAATAGCAAGAGCTTTCATTTGATATCATTTAAAAGGGGCTGGCCCCTAAAATTAGGGATCTAGAGCCCTTGAAAGTTTTCGCTTTATAACTCAAAAACGGTAAATATTTCGATATGGCTTTTGGGATTAAAGTTGTTCTTTAACACCTTATTGATCTCATACAAATGTTGTTTTGTTCGAGTATTGCGTAATATGTCGTAATATGTAGGTAAAAAGCAGGTCCCGTAAACAGGTAAGCGTTTTCATTCGGCAAGTAAATCGGAACTCTTCATGTGTATAACTTCAACAAACTTGCAATAAATTATATACCCTACTGTATTTAATGCTAATTTTCTTCTAATTAAGGTTTTAAACGTGTTCTGTGGTTCACTCATAAATTATTCTTTACAACTTTCTTTTCTTTTTTAATTTAGATTTAAAGGGAACACGTCTTCAAATAAAGGAAGGAATTAAATGTATCTATATAACTATATAAGTAATATTAAACTTTAAGCATCGAATAATTAATGATCATTAACAGTACGCATTTCTCCATGTTCACCTAAATGTTTTTAGTTATGTAACACAACCCGCGATCCCACGTTGCCGAGGTCACCATCGACCAGCCACCTGCGGTCATAAACCATGTAAACAAAACAAATATCTGTGAAGACTGTGATCACGTTTTAAATCCATCGTGTAGAAACAACAACAAATGAAACATTGTGTTTTTTAAATTTATATTGAATCTTTAAGATAACTTAATCTCATCTTTGATTTAATCTTAATTTCAAACACTAGTGCATAAAATCATTTCGAATTTTAATCGCTTTTACCGGCCTGTTCACTGTCGACACAGCAATACGATTTAAAAAAAAAACAAAAAAACAAAACAAACAATTTATTTCTCTGTCCCGTGTAATTGCATCTTTGATTTAGTCTTAATTTCAAACACTAGTGCATAAAATCATTTCGAATTTTAATCGCTTTTACCGGCCTGTTCACTGTCGACACAGAAATACGATTTAAAAAAACAAACAAACAATTTATTTCTCTGTCCCGTGTAATTGTATTCTATTTCAATTGTAATTGAAAAGGTGCTAAGGCAAATAATTGCAATTAGTGATGGAAGTATTAAGTATTAATACTTGTGTAAAGTATAATTTTTACTATCAGTCTCTTAATTGTTTCTTCATTTAATTTTTCATTAAATATTAAACTACATGTATATACATCAAATAATACTTTTAAACATACAATAATTCACGCCTTCTTACAGCACAGTTTACATTCTGCTCTGTCGCTTTGTAACCCAGTCTTCGTGCACACGTGGCCGCAGAGAGCTGGGGTCATATCGGTATTAAAATACATTGTGTACTCATAGCGATTAATGGAAAATTGGGTTTGAAATCATTTCGAATCTTACATATTATTTTATTTTACTCTATCTCACGCTTATTTTTATCAATCCTTACCGCCCGTGCATTTATTCATTTCAAGTTTTACGCATTTTAATTGCCGACTTAACCATTAAGTTTGCAACAATTTATTTTTCTGTCTCGTGTTTTAAACTGCATGTACACATGCATGATAATTGTAAGTGGAGGTGACTTTTTCAATTCTCGGCATCCTCACATGTGATTTCGGAACCTTAGTTGACATTGTGAGGATGAATTCTCGGGAAAATCGAAAAGTTTTACGGATACATACATACATACATGCATGCAAGTACAGAACATGCTCTTTTTATAAGCACGATCATGAATTCGAATGTACAAGTGTACATGTATATGCAAGAGCGCCCCAAATGTACGCATATCGAGTGTTTAAAATACAGAGAAATACAAAATCCCCGGTCTCTGTTTTACATTATCTTTGCAACAAAATATTGGTTAATCTGAAATCAATTTTATTGATCTATAGCTTATTTTGAAGTAAATTATCGGTCCACTGAGTTGATAATGAGTTGTTTTTATAACGAGTACATTTAGAGTATTCCGAATCACTTTTTACATTTTGACGGTAAACGATTTTATTAACAAGTTTATAAATGGTTGGTTGGTATTAAAGGAAAGCCAATTCAATGAAAAATCAAATCTACATTAAACGGCGAGTCTATCTACGATACAGCGGCCTTGACAGGGGTTATATTTACATCACCTTTTTAGTGTATTGCAGGTCACTTCCGGGTATTTCGAATCACCTGGTAAATGGCTAAAAACAGTCAGATAACAACATTATAATTAATGAATTAGTTGGTATTGTTTACCAAAAGTCTCAAAAAATAAAAATAATTATTTTCTTGTTGAATGTTGTTGGTTTTTTTATTAAGTTATTAAAGCCCCCCTCCC